GTGTGTGTATATATATATATATATATATATAATAAATTTGAGCCATCTGTGGGACCTAAATGAAAGGGCACTTCAGATGAAAGAAGATCATAGTGAGCCTAAAAAACAAGTTATTTTGTTTTTGTTGGCTAGAAAATATGTATAGCTCGTAGTGAAAGGGTTGGTATGGTAATTGTTACCAGACCTTTAAGATATGTGTCATACATTACAGAAAGGAAACAAAAAAATTAGTTAGATAAAATAGAGGAGGTGTGTTCAATCAGGCTGGCCTAACTTGTAGGATGTAGGTCGTGCAATCTCTGTGAGTCAGAAACATTAAATGCAAGTGATGTATCCCATGACAACTCAACTAGTAGTTGTGAAGTATGTGAGTCGCTCTCGGATCAGCCAGGAGTCAGAGTTCCATTAGAGCGCGCTCTCGATCAACCACAAAGCCAGAGTTCCATTGAAGCGCGTCCCCGCGGAGAGGAGGCGTGTCCGCACACACGGCCAAGGTCTTGGCGCACTCAGCATCACTTCTGTCCTCTTTGTCATGCTAAACTGGCAGGACAGACAGAGAGAGAGGACCGACCACGCGTCCTCCTCCTCCTGAGACTTCATTAATGGAACACTAAATAAAGGTTAGTTATATTTCTTCAGCTGCAAACAGAGCTCAAGAGAAGTTACTTGGAGCTTTGTGAAGAGCGGCGTTGATGCAATTAGTTTGCATAGTTTCATTTAGAGTTTTATTGTTGGGAAATTAATTTTGTGGTCCATTTAGTCGGGCAGGGATTGACGTAGAGACGTTTTGTGCGCTGTTTTTGTTCTGTGCTAGTAAAGTAGTTTGAACGTTTTTTATAGAACTTTAGACTGACAAACACGACGTGACGCCATTCATTCAGTGCTGGTTAAACAGAGACAGACGCGCGTGCGGTTGTTTGCTCTGCGGCACACGAACAGATCGTTGATATTTAACCCGCTTAATCCCGGTATATTAAAGCGATTAGCGGTGAGTGTGCTCACCTAACATGTTCAGATGTGATTTTCTGTTTCTGTTTCATGTTTTATTTTGGTGAGTTAGAAATAAAAATTTATTTATCACAAAAACATTGTTCACGTGCTCACAGAATATTTTGAATATGTTGTTCACAGAATATTTTATTTATTAATATCTTTATTATTAATGTACTTGTTTAATGTCTATTGTTTTTTCATTTAATTTATTTTAATTATATATATATATATATATATTTATGTATTTAATTATAGAAATATGAATTTATTTTTGTTTTATTTGTTTTAATAATCTTTATTTACCTTTTGAGTATTGATCATTTTATTGTTTTTTATTGATATTTATACATTTTATATTTCTGTTTTGTTTATGGTCATGTTTTTGTTTTAATGTGTTTTTCATTGAATGAATCATGCAAATCTTTTTATTTTTTGGTTTTATGTAATGATTTATATTTTAAATATTTTATATAAAATGTTTTACTGTTTTATGAAAATGTAGGGTAACCAGTTTGTACAAAAACACCATAGTTACTGTAGTGAAAACTGATAATTTAGTGGTACCCATTAAAAAAAGACACAAAAAAGGTTCTTAAGGCTTCTTACAATATTTGAAGGATATCACATATTACTTTATTATGGTTTTACACAAGGATGTAATCAAATATATGAACCATATATTGACCATATAACTATGGCATTTGATGGAAACTATGATAACCATTGTAATTTTTAGGGTCAGTGGGAGGAAGGAAGGGGTGCTTTTGCCATAAAATTGGATGTTTGCAGTTTATAGAGTTATGCAGATTGCTAAAAAATAATAAAATCTTTAATCATGGTACTTTTGGTTCTGTTTAAACCGGCTTTATCACTTTGGCAGCGGCTTCGTGCTGAAAGGATGACAAGTGCTGCAAATCATTAGACGGAGAACGAATGTGGTTTGTACAGGCCCAACTCAGAGCTGGAAATCCCAGAGTTCCTAAGACTGTAAACTAAAGCAAGCTGTTAAGCTTCAGAGAACAGTGATTACACTACACATGATGCTGTTATGGAGACATATAGTATGTAATTGTACACTCCTCCAGTCCAAGACTGTGCTGATCAAATGATGTGCTTTAGGTCGGGAGGGAAGGGTGGGTTTCCATATGTGACAGAGTTAGTGTCAGCCAGTGATGGAGAGAGTGTGAGAGAGACATCGCAACAGACTCGAGAATTTGGCACATTCGAGAGAGCCTAATAATCACATATCGTAACATTTCAGCTGACGTACCTCATCAGCTCATTCCATAGTATTGTTTCGATAACAATGAAACAACTGCTATGCAGATTCACAGTTCACACAACTGTTAACAAATGGGGCAAGATGGAGAAAATTTCCAGTCAGTGCTCTGCTTCTGTCTGGATAAGACAATCAACTCGGGACCTTTGGTATAGAGCAGGGGTAGGTAAGTTCAGAGTTCAGCTCCAACCCTAATCAAACACACCTGAACAAGCTAATCAATGTCTTCAGGATTACTAAGGCTATAGGCAGGTGAGTTTTTTTTCAGAGTTGGAGCTGAACTCTGCAGGACTGTGGCTCTCTAGGACCGAACTTGCCTGCCCCTGGTATAGAGGAAAGCCAAAGCTTTCTCAGGTGGCTGCCGATGGTGAACTCACGGTGAAGGGTTGTGTTGCCGACAACGTAAAACGATCCCCCACTTCCTGCGCAGGAGTGAGCTGCTTAGGAGAGTCTGATGGGATTTTGAGTGTTCACACAGTGTGTTTCAGGAAAAGCCTGTGTGCTTACAGCATGGCTTTTGCAAATAGATTATTATACATTTGTTGTATTGGGAGAGAGAGAGAGAGAGAGAGAGAGGGCATTTGTTTGGGAGTGTTTTGTTATAGAGTGCTTTAGATATTTCTTAAAACCCTCCCAACTATCTGATGCTTTATATTTTCCTTGCCTTTCACATATTATAGACTTAATTTTTTATATATAGGGCTATTCTTCGTTAAAAGAGACAAACCCTACAACTAATTTTCATTTAAAAAAACAAAAACATTTTTGTTTTATTTATGAATCCGTTTTTCAGTTGACATCACCATAAGGAGGTTTTGTCAGATTAAAAGAATAGTTCACCCAAAAATAAAAATTTGCTGAAACTTTACTCGCCTTTAGGCCATCCAAGGTGTAGATGAGTGTGTTTCTTAATGGGAACAGATTTGTAGAAATTTTGCATTACATCACTTTCTCACAAATGGATCCTCTGCAGTGAATGGGTGCAGTCAGAATGAGAGTCCAAAAAATAAACTACACCACTCCAGTCCATGAATTAACCACTTGTGATGCAAAAAGCTCTGTGTTTGTATTAAACAAATCCATCAAGGCATAACTTTAAATCATTGCTTCTGGCCAAAATATGATCCCATAATCAATAATAACTCTTCCTCCAGTGAAAACTGTTTTTGCTTGTTTTGCTTGATCTTTGCATATTTCTCTCTTGATTCCGATAGACACATTTTTCACTGGAGTAAGCAAAATTATGGATAGAGGACTCGTATTTTAGCTGGAAGTAATGGTTCGAAGTTAGAAACGCCTTGATGGTGGATTTGTTTCTTACAAACACGCAGCTTTTCACTTCACAATACATTAATTGATGGACCGGAGTCGTGTGGATTACTTGTGTTTTTATCAGCTGTTTGGACTCTCATTTTGATGGCACCCATTCACTGCACTGGATCCATTTGTGATAGAGTGATGTAATGCTAAATCTCTCCAAAATCTGTTCCAAATGAAAGAGAAAAAAAACTCCTATGCATCTTTGATTTGCTGAAAAGTTAATTTTCAGCAAATCTTCAATTTTGGGTAAACTTCCTTTAAGCTCACTTCTGGAGATAAAATCAGTTGTAAAAAAAACTGAAGAGAGAGGGAAAGAAAAGGGAGAGAGAGGATGTGCCCCAGACTTCAGGGGAAAATCAGTCTTGTGGATTTAAGTCCTCTGAAACACTCTGTGGACTTTGCTTCAGAAGAAACTTCAAACTGTATATGAAATCTGAGCTCTTTCTGGATCTGTTTTTTCACTTAATCAAGAGGCTGTCTTTCTCTTTCTGTCTTATTGAGCTGAATTCATTTCAAGACGTGAAGAGGAAAAAGGGTTTTATCTTCAAAATACCAAAGCTCTTTGTCATTTAATGTAAATTATTTGGTCATAACTTTAATGCTGCTAGTGAATGTGTATCATACTTGTGGGCTTGTATGTCTGAGGTAATGATTTATTACAGCTTAATTTCCTTACCAGTGCTTTGGACTTGAGTACAATGTTTCTATGTTAAAATGACTCTATGTGTGTGATGTGGTTCTCCTCAGGGAGCACTCTTTGCCTGGGTAAATATTTTTTCCATTTCACCCACCCAGAAGAGGCTAATCACATGAAGAACGTGCTGACAGAAAAGACTGCAGGACCCGCAATGTCCCTCAGTACAGGTAAGTGATATCTTCCTCCACCTTCCTCCCGATCAGCTCTCAGTTTTGGATCCATTCGGCTGTCTTTTCATAAACAGAGTCACTTGCTTGCAGCCTAATTGGTTCCCTCCATTATCATGCAGCAGACTGTTTTATAAACAGGAAGAGTGCAATTCAGTGCCATCTGTTCTGCTCTTCTGCGCTATTTTGTGATTGTTTGCTTGTTTGTCATACGATCTCCGGACGCTCCTTCGTCGAATCCGCCGGCCGCCGCTCACTCTAGGCCTCCGCTAACTCTAGCCCGCCGTGTGTGACGCTGTGTGTTTCGTTGTGAAAGCGAAACTACTTTGTTTGGCCTTCCGAAAGAGGACACGACTAGAAATCAGTGGTTAAGTTGTATTTACAACACTGTTCCAGAACAGTTCAACCCAAATATTCAGATGTGTGCATCACATTTTATGGAGGACTGTTTCCTGATCCTGGTAGAGTAGACTACAATGCCGGCTGTTCTGACTCACAGACTGTAAGTACGTTTACATATTTAAAGGATTTGCCACTGATGATTCAAACGCAAGTTTTGAGCAGTGTAGAGTAGCGCTTGTTGTTTATCATTTCTCCGATCACAAAGGCAGACATGGTTTTATGTTTATGCGACGCAATGCGTAAAAAGACAGTATAAGTCATTATAATCCATAATTATGTCCCAACTGGATGCAACAAATGCCTCGTTTATAATGGGTTTTCATGTTTTTGTCTCGTCGCTCCGGCCGGACAGGGCATCCCAGTATGGTAGGAGCGTAACATTTCCGTCACATGCTTGAGGTATTTGGCCAATCACAACGCACTGGATAGCTGGCCAATCAGAGCACACCTCGCTTTTCAGACCGATGAGCTTTGTAAAAATCTACTAGTTTCAGAAAGGTGGGGCATAGAGGAGAAACAATAATGTACAGTATGTGGAAAATAATGTTTTTTTTAACCTTAAACCGCATAAACGCATTAAAAACAAAATAATGTTATTTTTAGCAACATCATTTGTATGTTACAAATGATGTTGTTCTTTTTAGACCCCTTTAAACATGTGAATATGCTCATCAGTCTCAATCAGTGTTGTTTTCTTCTTTCCAGCCACTTTTTAAAAAACATTACCTGTAATTTTTCATAAAATGGGGCCTAAAGCTCTTAAAAGTTAGGTATTTTTAAACAAAATTCCAGTGTTAGATACAGTCAAGAAGGTCAAGGCTTTAGAGGTGGGACAAGCCAAAACCATAATTTAGGAGGGAATGCAGACATTTTAGTTGTTTGAAACTGGCTATGTCTTATGCTAGCTTAATTTTATGTTACATAATGGTTTATTTAATGACTCTCACAACAAAAGCATGGGATTTGTGCCTCTAATGTTTAAAAAAAGTAATGGGATCCAAAATGTAATGTATTCATGGAAAGTGACATCTCTGCTTTTCTTCCTTTCTTTTCTCTTTCTCTGTGGGCTTTGTGTTGGCTGTGAGACTTAGAGTTAATACAAACATTCATCTTACCACCATGCAGCCGCAGCTGTACAAATGTCCATGTTACCTTGTAAATAAATGACAACGTAAAATCCCATCCATATGGCTCCAGCATACCGGTCAACCCTCCAGTTTTTCCCGGGATTCTCCTGTATTTTACCATTCTATCTCGCTATCATCCTGTTTAAATATTTTCCCGTATTTCTCCCGTATTTTTAATCTTTCTATAAAAATATCCCACTGAGCATATTTTATGTTTGCCACATTCGCCTCCGGTAAAACTCCCGTAATTTGTATGGCCCAAACCTCATTATATGAAAAAGCACCTAAAAAAAAAATTCCAAGCTTGCCCCAGGTGCCAGATCTTGTATGAAATACATCCTGCTCACACAATCGACACATACAAATTTCAACCCATTTGTCCCCACAACTTGGCAACCTACAACAGTGATGAGTACCGCGGGAAGGAAAGGATCACTGGTAGAAATTGGACGGGAGGAGAAGACTCAGGTGGGGCTCCGGTGAAAAAAACAAATATACATGAAAAATTGAGATATAACTTACACTTCAAAAGGCTATGTATGGTTTAATTGATTAAATATGAGCTCTGCAAGTTGCAAAATCAGGTGCTGCGCTGGTTTGTTTACTGCGGTTACCGGGGAAATAGCTATATTCCTGGTGAAAAACGAAAGAATGAAGAGAGAATGAATTTGCATTTTTCAATAAGCCCTTCTGCTTTTTGTTTTAGACCAAAGACAAAAACTACCCTTATTTTTACGCAGAAAACGCGCAGTTTGATATACATGGAGCTTAAATAATTGTTTGATGATAATTGTTTAAATTAATATAATAATAATAACATAATATGATAGATACTTTTGCACCCCCCCCCTCGTCTCCCGTATTTTGGGACCCAAATGTTGACAGGTATGGGCTCCAGGTCAACCACTTAACTAAAATGATTTACAACCCAAAACGTAGATAAACATTATGGAGTACAGGTGGTCCACACGTGTGTGTGTGTGTTCCCTGACGGAGTTCTGCCTCGGTCCCTTTCCTCTGCTCCAGTGCCAGAAAGTACAAACCCATTCTGGCTTTGGTTCTTCCATTTTTAGAAGATGCTTTTCCCCCTTAAACCCAAAGCATCCATATTTGTGTGGGCTGAGATTTGTATGAGAAAGCCGTTTTAGTTCTGTTGTCAGCTGAGCACATGTGGCCCTTGAACTTAAGCAAAACCAAAAAAAGTTGCCAGGGCACACGTCTGATTTCTCTCTTTATTTCGTGAGATTTTCTAGTTCTGTTTGTGCATGTGTCAATGACAACCTGTGCAAACACTGAGCTTTTGTATTAGTACAAGAAGATCACAATCGAGGGTTTGATATGTTTCAGCTCTTGATTCGTTCCAGTTAAATGGATAACTGCTCTGTCATTTCCCTCAGGAAATTTCGGTCTCCAGTAAAATTTGCACGCCTTCAGATGTTTCATTTGGCTTAGAAGGAACTTCCATCATGTATTACCTTTCCACCATTAGATATCAGATGAATTTTATCGCTAAAGACTTTGCATATTAAACCTCAAATGGGCCATATCATGTGGTATATCTGAGAGCTGATTATGAAAGATTTGAGGTCACAAGATGCACAACAAATGAAGTTTGACATGATTGATGTCGACCCTTCTTTCTGTGCCGTATTTGAATGTGCACAGGCATAAATTAACTTTTTTTTTCTTTTCTTTTACAGATACAACAAAGTTTTATTCCAATGGTGGCACATTGGCTGGATCTAGTGTTCGTAGCACACGCTCCAAGGCGGAGCTTCAGGAGTTGATGGAGAGCTTGCAGCGTAGGAAGTCCGCTCTGGAGGCCAGCTTAAAGGCTACTGCAGACTGCGGTTACCTCACTTTGTCCCCACCTCCCAGTCCCCAATCGGCATCATCCTATCTACAGGACCGTCCACCTCTTTCTATACGAGTCCCTTCCCCTTACACACCCGCCAGCAGCTTAAGCATGCCACCATCGCCCCGCCACTCAGAGCGGCCCATAAGTCCAGTCCCAAACCGCGCCCGACACCAGTCGCAGGACAACCTGTTGCTTTGCCTCCCTTTGGAAGGGCGACATCCCAACACTGCCAACTCACTCCTTTCTATGTGCAACGGCTCTTCTTCCTCCTACATGACCGATGCTCTTCCTTCATCTCGCCGAGGTCCAAGCGGGGCGGCCAGCATGCCCTCCAGCCCTCGCTTGGGCCGCAGATTGCTAACAAGAGATGGGGAGTCCACCATTGACCCATCACTCCGCCAAAGGAAATACTCCACCAGCTCTCTGAATGGCCTGGGGGAACATAGTCTTTCTTTGCCTAGGTTGTATCGAGGAGATGCCCCAGTGCTTTCTTTGCCACCCCGACGTACCACCAAACCACGCCGCAGCCTTCCGTTCTTGGAGAAACCTCCAGATGTGACCGTGACAGCCAACTTGATCAGCAGTTCTCACCGGACCAGCCTCTGTTCAGTGGGCTCTGCCCCATGTTTGGATCTAGGCGTAGGAGAAAGGCGGCTGTCGTTTGGTAAAGGAGGCCTGGGGCCCGGCATGGGGCCGAGGAGGGGCAGTATCAGTTCTCTCAGTGGAAAAGAAGAACTCAGAGATTATCATCAGAGACAAAGAGATGAGAGACTACGAGAACAGGAAGTGGAAAGACTGGTAAGTCACCCAGAGAAACACTTGTACTAGTGAGTCTAAAGCTTCAAAATTCTTCAGTCTATTCATCCTTCATGTATTTAGTTTTATAATCATGACAATGTTGAATAAATTACTTCACATATTCACATATGACTTCACAAAAATCACATAACGCATGGTATTTCTTTTTAATTTTATGTCATGTAAAGCATATTATAAATAAAATTATTACTGTATATTAAATATATTTTATATATCATATTAATATTATAATTGTATTATATTATTAATTATTTTAAATCATATATTGCTTTACATAGTTATTTTCATTTTATGTTTTATATAATATAAAATGTATATAAAATATGTAAATAATATTTTACTGAAATGTTTATATTTTTTCTTGTATTATTTGATATAACTTTAATTTGTCACTTTAATTCGAGTCACTTTATAGCTTAAAATATATCATGAAACCATAAGTTCATAGAAATCAATGTGTAAGGGACTTTTTGTGAAATATTGTTGTTAACTTTAATTCCCTATAATTCTAAGGCTTGAATCCAGCTCATTGGGTTTCAGTTTTCTTCTTTTAAGACAATGGTGAGACATGAAAGTGTCTGAAGGACTATATTCTGTGCCGTGTTCTTTGTGCAGGGCATTATAAGTGAGGTTCACTGGATTATTCACACTCCTTCATGCGCTACAGACTTAATGAACTTACATTCACAGCTAAACCAAAACCTTAAGTGTGTATGAACCAGCTGGTAATCACACTTTAAATTAGTTTTGCTTTACACTTAGACCTTTATGAGAACTTGAAATGTTCCTTCTAGAGGTCACATGATAACTGTGCTAAAGCAGTGCATCTGTAGTCAAACCATCTGATCTGACTGCAGTGGTGTGTGCGCAGTGTATTTGTGTGTGTTTGTTTGTATGCAGCTAAATTAGTTCAATTCCACAGGGCCAAATCCCACAATCCACTATGATACAAATCTAAACAATGTGTTCTATGTAAAATCTGATATTTCAAACATTAACTCTAGACTACTGAGTCAGCCAGTTTTGTTTATAATATTATGTATCCGGTACAATGCTGTCCAAAAGTCTGAAACTAGTAAAAAATGCTTCTGTTTTGCATTATATATGACCCTGGACCACAAAACCAGTCTTAAGTCACTGGGGTATATTTGTAGCAATAGCCAAAAATACATTGTATGGGTCAAAAAAAAAATTATTTTATGCCAAAAATCATTAGGATATTAAGTGAATATCATGTTCCACGAAGATATTTTGTAAATGTCCTACTGTAAATATATTAAAACTTCATTTTTGATTAGCAATATGCATTGCTAAGAACTTCATTTGGACAACTTTAAAGGTGATTTTCTCAATATTTTGATTTTTTTGCACCCTCAGATTCCAGATTTTCAAATAGTTGCACCTCGGCCAAATATTGTCCAATCCTAACAAACCATACATCAATGGAAAGCTTTTTTATTCAGCTTTCAGATGATGTGACCCTTATGACTGGTTTTGTGGTCCAAGGTCACATATGAGATTACAAATTACATAAACAGAATCTTCATATTATTCATTTTGCATCATAATTTCCAGTTTTTATTTCCACATTGTCAGTGATTATCGCTTTTCGTTCCACTCTAGGAACGCCAGCGTCTTGAGACTATTCTGTGCCTGTGCTCTGAGCTGGGTCAGTCTGAACTTGGCCGAATGGAGACCGACTCGGGTGTCTCAGCTGTATCGGACCTGCAGAAAATCAACCGAGAGCTGGAGAAGCTGCATGTGTCTGATGACGAATCAGTGTTCTCAGACTCTGCTGCAGTGTCTCTGGACAGCGGGTTTCTGGGTAAGGGTCGTGGAGAGATCCTGACCCAGAGACAGTGCAGACTCAGCGGACACAGGGAGACCAGGCCCCAGTCACCCACCACCAGTCTGCGGAGCTCAGTCCCCTCACCCTCTCCACGCCTCCGCAGCAAAGTGAGACACTGCGCCGCATCTTTCTGTTCATATCTTCCTGAATGCAACAAAGGACTTTTAATTTTCCAACATGTTGCATCTACAATTAAGGCCCATTCACACCAAGAACTGTAACTTATAATGATAATTATATTAGCGTGTTCATTATAAGTGCATGCTGCAGTTTAGTCGTCTGCCACTTTCAATGCTCGAGCTCTTTAAAGCAAGATTGATTCTGATTGGCTGCCAAAGTTTTTTATCATTCATCAGCTACAAAAAAATCATTTTGAAAGTGATTCCAACAATATTGTTCCTCTGTGGTGTCAATGATATATTACAGATTGATATATTTAATCAATGATATATTATTGATTATATAATAATATATTATTGTATCAAGTATATTTACATAATGTGTAGTATGTGTTGTACCAAATTTAATGTATGCTGAATTAATTACAAATATAAATTATATAATCAAAAATATAAAAAAATATAAAAAACTTGATTTTTCACTACCCTGTACAGTAATGAATATTAATGTAAATTTGTATTCCTTTATTTAATTCTGGGATAATTAAGTATATTGTTATGAGTATATTAGATTTAAATTCATTCTAAATCTCGATCTAATTCTCATTAATGTAAAATAAATTTATATATTTAAATTATATTTGTATATCTTAGTATCTATTAACTTAATATACAGTAATGATTTTTTAATAGTAGCTTTAGATTAGTCAGTTCTTTATAAGAGTCACTCTATTAATTTCAGCTCCAATTTACATAGTTATTTCTTGCCACAATTATATTTGTTTTTACTATATATACCATCATGTATAATGTGTTCAAATCTAAAGCAGTCTCCAGTTGTGTACTCAATATCCCAGATTAATCTAATGATGCAGTGGAAAGTTTGCAGTCCTCAGGGATCTAAAGTATGCAAAACAGTTTGGGAATGCTGTGGAGTCTTTATACCTAACTGATGTCTGTTTCTAAACAACATGACAGAGTGAACTTTGACCTTTTAAAACGCTGACCTCACACTCTTTGCAGTCAGACACCGAAATGAGTTTTAAAACAGATTCTGTCTGCATTTCAATAATAATAATAATCAATACATAAGGTGTCAATTACAGCTTAACGGGGTGGACTCTGTGGAAGAAGTGTTTTTCCATTGGATAACTATAATGACATAATGGTGTGTTTGAGTTTAATAAACTTGCTCAGGAGAGAAGGGCAGTTATTGCCTCTCCAGCAAGAGGAGTGGAACAGGAAATGACTCTATTCCCAGTGGATTTGCTATGCATGTGTGTGTGTGTCTATGTGCTCAAGACACACATGCCAGTAATTGTTGGAAAGAAACACAGAAATACAAGGAAAGAATGCAGATCTGCAGATCATTTGTTGCCTTGGACCACAAAACCTTAAGTCTTAAGTCGCTGGGGTATATTTGTAGCAATAGCCAAAAATATATTGTGTGGGTCGAAATTATTGATTTTTCTTTTATGCCAAAAATCATTAGGATATTAAGTAAAGATCATGTTCCATGAAGATATTTTGTAAATTTCCTACTGTAAATATATTAAAACTTTATTTTTGATTAGTAATATGCATTGCTAAGAACTTCATTTGGACAACTTTAAAGGCGATTTTCTCAGTATTTAGATTTTTTTGCACCCTCAGATTCCAGATTTTCAAATAGTTGCACCTCGGCCAAATATTGTCCTATTATTGTCCAAAAATTGACCCTTATGACTGGTTTTGTTGTCCAGGGTCACATTTTTCCTACACGTCTCCTCTCAAGCAATATTTCTTAATAAACTCTCATGTGACATTCATTTTGCTATTGCTAATCACAGTTTGCATTTAAAAATATGCACAGGCCCATATTTCTGGTAAATGTCAAATGCATGGAGATTAGATGCCATTATCAGACAGTAGCGGTTCTGTAGTCTCGCTCTCGCATCTGTTGCTCGGCTACATTCCTCTGCGCTGTCACTGGAAACCTTGTGGCCTCAACCAAGTTTACTATCCATAAAGAGGTGTCATGAAGAGCTGGATATTCATTTTAGAGTTCAGTCTCATGTCAGGTCTCAATGACTGCATTTCTGAATGTTTAATCCATCTTTTCTACATTAGATCATTACATGTTTGTAGTTATATGTTTGTAACTGTTAAATCAATCAAGGAGAGGTGATGTGACGTATGAGACTAATGAATGATTCAGGAGTTCAGCTAAACTTCTAAAATTGTACGTATGGTCGAACAAAAGTCTCAGTCATCCAGGACTGAAACCATTTTTGTTGTTGTTGTTATTTCTGTATCTTTTTCACAGGTGTCTGAAGACATGCCGCTGAGACAGGAAGTGACACGTATCGAAGAGGAGAGAATTCAGGTGCTTAACAACATTGAGGAACTTGAACAGAAGATCAAAGATCTAGACACACAGATGGACGAGTCTATCAGAGAGGTGTGTGTGCGCTTTAAATGAGAAGCTTTGTGTTTTAAAGTGAGGTAACATGTATAGTATGCATTCCAAACAGTAGTGCATGGTGCTAGCAACGCCAAACTCATGGGCTTGATTCCCAGAAATCGCAAGCCGTTACGATTAAAAGCATCTGAGAAATGCATTAATGTAAATGCCTTCATGTCTGCCAGTAAATAACTCTTACAGATTGACTCTCTAGACTTGTATACTTTTATTCTGCAACATTATTTTAGTATTAATTATATACTACTATAGTATTTATTAATGTTTTGTATTAACTTTATTTTATATTTAAATTCAAATTTTAGTAATTTTCTTTTTTGATTTTTTTCTATATAGCTTTAATTAGTTTTTATTTCAATTTCAGTAATTTTAGTGCTTCAACTTCAACTTATTTATTTCAGTTAGTTGCCAAAGACATTTCAATTTTTTTGTTCAATTTTTTTAAAAGTTATAACTTTGTCAATTACCAAAAAAAAGATTTTTTCAATAGTTTTAGTTGTGCAATGAAGCTAAAGTCAACAAACATTTCAATCTGTCATTAGATGGAGGTGGAGAGAGCTCTTTTAGATGGGGAGCAGGAGGCAGAAGTGGCTCAGCTACAGAGCGATAAAGAAATGCTGGAGCAGCTCAACGAAAAAATGGCCAACGTGGCAAAAAATGCTAAAAAAAATCAAACTCAGGTAAACAGCAGGTGGAAATGTAGTTGTACAGCTTGAAATGATTCAGTATAGTATATCAAAGCTTCAGGACAAAGTTTAGTGCCTCCAAAAAGGCAAACAGAGGGTCTCATTCACTAACTATATGTAGATTTGAACATTTTTACACAGTTATCATGACTTACGAACAAGTTTGCACTTAGGAATAGTTCACCCAAAAAGAAAAATTTGCTGAAAATTTAGTCACCTACCGTCCAATGTGTAGATGAGCTTGTTTCTTCGTCTGAACATATTTGGAAATCATTTGCTCATCAAAGGATCCTCTGCAGTGTATGGGTGCCGTCAGAATGAGAGTCCAAACAGCTGCTAAAAACATCACAATAATCCACAAGTAATCCACATGACTCCAGCCCATTTTATGAAGCAAAAAGCTGTCAAGTCAAGTCAAGTCACCTTTATTTATATAGCGCTTTTAACAATACAGATTGTGTCAAAGCAACTGAACAGCATTAATTAGGAAAATAGTGTCAATAATGCAAAATGACAATAGTAAACACTAATTTTTCAGTTAAAGACAGTTCATCATTGAATTCAGTGATGTCAACATCCAGCTCAGTTTAAATAGTATCTTTGCAATCATGTCAACGATATCGCTGGAAATGAAGTGTCCCCAACTAAGCAAGCCAGAGGCGACAGCGGCAAGGAACCAAAACTCCATCGGTGACAGAATGGAGAAAAAACCTTGGGAGAAACCAGGCTCAGTCGGGGGGCCAGTTCTCCTCTGACCAGACGAACCAGCAGTACAGAAAAATCAATATAAGACGTAATAAAACAGACGATGAACAATATTAACAACAATTATTATATGATGCAATCAAACTTATAGCAAAATATGGTAGTTCTGTATGTTGTTTCA